CACATCTGCGTAACTCCAAAATATGTAAGTTACATATTTAAATAATACACATCTGTGTAACTCCAACATATGTAAGTTACATATTTAAATAATACACATCTGTGTAACTCCAACATATATAAGTTACACATTTAAATAATACACATCTGTGTAACTCCAAAATATGTAAGTTACATATTTAAATAATACACATCTGTGTAACTCCAAAATATGTAAGTTACATATTTAAATAATATACACATCTGTGTAACTCCAAAATATGTAAGTTACATATCTAAATAATACACATCTGTGTAACTCCAAAATATGTAAGTTACATATTTAAATAATATACACATCTGTGTAACTCCAAAATATGTAAGTTACATATTTAAATAATACACATCTGCGTAGCTCCAAGAAACATCTTTTCACACTTGTGTACTTCCAGAGAATTGAAAATAATTTCTAAAATTTCCAGATGTACGTATATGTGTTTCTTCTTGTTTTTTCTGCTAATGAAACGTTATATAAGGTGAACCTGAGAGACAGTTTCCACCATCCTAAAGCTGTTATTTAAGTCTCAATAAAAAAAAGTAGAAAAAACAGCAATAAATTAATTTTTTCTTTGTCAGTCGTTCGATACACATTTGATAAATAATTTGATTAGTTAGAGCGGTTCTTGTTTTACCACCCAGAAACCCGGAGTACAGCGAACGAAGCCGAGAACCCCGTATTAGTTTAAACGTAATGTACAGGTTGTTAGTTTTATTGTATGTTGTCAGTGAATTAGAACGGCTATTGGTAGGAAATATCTCTTTGTTTAAACACAAAACTGCAGAATGGGACATCTGAGCTGTTCCTACTGCGGCGATCGAACCCAGGATTTGAACGTTATTATACTGAACATATACATTAATCAGTGTATACAGTATATATATATTCTTTTCAGAAAGTCTACGTTTGATATGATTTTGTCGTCTTCAGTGTCGTTGACCAAGCAGGACAAGCACAAGGTTCCAGAACCTTCACGCGAAAGTGTCCAGAACAACTCAGATTCAAGAAGTGTAAGTGAATCCACTTGTCTTGGTACTAATCTACCTTTGTCTGTATTCTGTCTGTGGTTGTGTTTTGTTTATAAAAACGTTGCGCTATATTTCACAAATGTAAGGTTTGTACTTAGGACGCTTAAACTTCCTGGAATTTTGAAAGATACTGGGATGTTTTCAGCAGTATAAAGTTTTAAGAAAAGCTGATACATTTACACCAAGAATAGTTCAGTTTGTTGGTTATACCTCTCAACAATAACCTAAAAATATGAAGACAACTTTGACCTGTTTCTTGTCTTACCTCGATTTTTGCGATACGTAGACACGACACCGATCTGGAAAACTTATTGTTGATGGCTTATATCATCGCTGTTTTTTCAAGGCTGTGGAACGTTTAAGTTTTGTAAGCGTAGCTTAGTGGGTAGAGATCCCAGAATGTGAATCTGAGCATTCATTGTTTTTGTCCCGTTGTCCTCTATACTGTGGGGCCGTGAATAGTGGCGGTTAAATACGATTATTTGGTCAGACAAGAATATACCACGAGTTGGCGGCGAGCGCTGTCGAATAGCTGTTTTACTCCTAGTCTACTACTGTGAAGTCACTGATGGCTAAACACATACAGCCCTTGTGTAGCTTTGAGAGAAAGTTCTGGAACAAACAAACTAATTAACATCCTTTACACAATCAGTAGCTACTATTTTCAGATGTGTTAACGATGAACTGAAAATTTGATCTTCAACTTGAAAGACAGTTTGTGCGCACGTGGGGTAAATGCCGAGGTCAGAAATCCACTAGTGTTCAGGCAAAGAGGAGAGCCAACAACCAACAAGCAAGATACGCCGCCACAAGGGCTTTGTCCTGTTCTTTGAACTGAATAACAAGACTAACTGTCACTTTTATAACGCATCCATAGTCGAAAGTGTGTAGTATTATCAGGTTTCAAACACCAAATCCTTATATCATCAGTTTAGCATGGTGACCATTAGAACACTACAGGTCTATTAACGATGAATCTCGTTCTCGTACTTTCATCCTAGTGTTTTATTCGACCGATAGGAGTAATTTCTAATGGATATTTAATAAAGATTGTGTTCATTTAACCATTTCTAATATTTTTATAGACAATTTCAATAAAAGTTTAGGTTCGTTAACCTATTGTAAATCTCAATTAATAGAACTGAGAAAAAATAATGTATATTATTTAAATTTATAAGTGTCATTGAATGATATCATTTACAGAAAATATTAAAAATGTGCGCATATTTATCATCGTATATTTTGCTCTACAGGGTTTGCTTCATAATCTGCCCTCTGCAAAGTAAGTTAATCATTTATAATGTGTTTAAAATGTTTGTGATTTTTCTATTAAAATCGCTATGTGAACGCTATGCCTCTTTGTTTGATATGTATCATTGCTAAACAAGTTCTGGTTGAGACATTTTTAAGCTAACAACCTGTTAAGCTGCTAGTACTAAGATAACAAAATGTAAGGAAAATAATGAAAGATGGGAACTTATGTTTATCAAAGTTAATTATCTATCTAAATAGCTTAATTATATTTCCGTACACATACAACATACATGCAAGTAGATATTTTTTAGTTTTGATTCAAATCATTACAATCTTGATATAGTATTCGGAATGGAAATACAATATTCACTCTTACTATAAATTAAACTAAAGTATGGAAAGCTATTTTCGTCATTTTGTGTTTTCGTTGAAAATCGTTACATTTTGTGTACACAGTACAAAATTTTATAAGAAGCACTCGAGTGTTATTGACAATAAACATCAAAGGATTTAATACTTATCATAAAATTAGCCTAAATATTTCGAAATTTAGAGAAATTACAGATCCTACTAAAAGAGTAAATGCTATTAGGTAACCTCACCAAAACAGGAATATTGAGTTATGACAGATGTTTTACATAGATGGCGCCACACAACACAATGTAACTCTACTGAGTGAAGAGTAATTATATTAAAATGTTGCAACCAACAATAAGACACGTGAATAATTATATAAAAATGTTGCAACCAACAATAAGACACGTGAGTAATTATATAAAAATGTTGCAACCAACAATAAGACGCGTGATTAATTATGTAAAAATGTTGCAACCAGCAATACACGTGACTAATTATATAAAAATGATGCAACCAACAATACACGTGACTAATTATATAAAAATTATATAAAAGCATATACGCAGTTGCTAGTTTCATAAATTTGAAACATGTTTTTTGTTAACTATAAACTTGGAGTCTAATATTTGGTTATTGTACTGAGATGTACGTTCACCTTTTTTTTTAGTGAAAACTTTGCCAAACTTCGGGTGTTCTACAAAACGTTAGATCACATAATCTATAGGCAGCAGCCTAAGTATCAAGTAAGAAATATTTATTCTATTTTATATATATATTCTTTCTAATGAAAACAACCAGAATGTTCCGATAACTCGTTCGTTTCGGGAGTTATACAAAACGTTAGATCACATAATCTATAGGTAGCAGCCTAAGTATCAAGTAAGAAATATTTATTCTGTTTTTTATATATATATATATATTCTTTCTAATGAAAACAACCAGAATGTTCCGGTAACTCGTTTGTTTCGGGAGTTATACAAAACGTTAGATCACATAATCTATAGGCAGCAGCCTAAGTATCAAGTAAGAAATATTTATTCTATTTTTTATATATATTCTTTCTAATGAAAACAACCAGAATGTTCCGGTAACTCGTTTGTTTCGGAAGTTATACATTAAATGAAACGTGAAATTTGAAATTATATATTCGATTCGGTCGAAAGTTACATACGATCAGTCACAAATCACATACAATACTGACATTTGTAATTAATCGTACGTCACATACAATACTGACTATGTGATTTTGTTTCAGAGTAATGAAATCTTTAGTAACCTTGGTGGACAACTAGGACTGTGGCTAGGGATCTCCTTAGTGGCCTGGTTTGAGGCTCTAGAGACCATCTACCTGCTGATTGGATACGTACTTTCTAAACGACGAATTCAGGAAGGAGAAAACTAAGGTGGTTTTAGTAGTTAATAACAGCTGAATCTGACCTTTCACCTTTCTTCAACCGGTGAAGCTGACCTTTTGCCTTTCTTGAAAAGGTGAATCTGACCTTTCACATTTCTTCAACAGCTGAATCTGACCTTTCACCTTTCTTCAACAGGTGAATCTGACCTATTACTTTTCTGCAAAAGTTGAAGCTGACCTTTCACCTTTCTTCAACCGGTGAAGCTGACCTTTCACATTTCTTCAACAGGTGAATCTGACCTTTCACCTTTCTTCAACAGGTGAATCTGACCTTTTACCTTTCCTCAACAGGTGAAGCTGACCTTTCACCTTTTTTCAACAGGTGAAGCTGACCTTTTACCTTTCTTCAACAGGTGAAGCTGACCTTTTACCTTTCTTCAACAAGTAAATCTGACCTTTTACCTTTCTTCAACAAGTGAATCTGACCTTTCACTTTTCTTCAATCGTTTCGTATAGGACAATCCTGTCTATGTATTATGTAATTAAAGCTTTCAATTTTCTGTATTATAAATAATAATAATTATCCTGATTTTTATATAATGATTTTTGAATTTTATCTATTTTACAAATTCAGATATAACTTATAAAACCAAACAGCTGCTTGAAGTAATGTTATCTCCTTCTAGAAGGTGCCTGAAAAATTGAAATAACACAACTCACAATACATGTGTATTAACTATGCTTAAGTTCCCGCCAGAGAGCGCTATCAGCAGGAATTATGAAAAAAAAAACGTTTGTGTAACTTAAGAAACTTATTGAACACTATGTATTTGTTTCTATTAAGTTTTATCAAATATCAAATAAAATCAGTTGTAGTTCACCTAACCAATGTAGTTGTTACATATTTTTATAAGCGTGTTTATTTGTAAGTTTTAGTAACGACTATAGATTATTAGATTCTATGGACTATTGAATTAATTCGATTAATACCCCGTTTTTAAATAGTTCGTAATTTGCTTTTGTCCATGAGAAAAATTTATCATAGCTACAGACATGAAATAATTTCGTGCCCATGACATAGCGCACCTGCACACATATAAATAATATTTTTCATTACGTAAACTAACGTTTATAGAAATTCATATTTTTTTTATTCCTAGGATGCTGGGAATTAACAGTTTAAATTAAACAATTAAAAGTTTAAAAAGTGTAAAAGTAGTCCTTGAATTCTAGAAAATAAAAAGATTAAACATTTCAAAGGGAAAAATGTTAATTTTTCAAGAAAATAATAAATTAAAAAGAAAAGAAATATTGACCCTTTTCTTCCAGAAATAAAAAGTTTAAAAGTTTGAAATCCAAGTTTTTTTTTTTCAGGAATTGAAAGTTTAAATAATTGCAAAGAGTTAAACGATAATCATTTCCCCACTTTTTCCTGGGAAATAAAAAAGTTTACATATTGTAAAAAGAACAATACTCATACTGTTTTTTTTTCTTCAATGCCTCAGTGGTAGGATTGAAAAGATATTACGATAACATTCGAGTTTTGGTTCCTGATTCATGATAAGTTGGACTGCTGACAAAACATTGCAGGTGATGAGTTACCTGATTCATAATAAGTTGGACTGGTAACAAAACGAATATTGTTCAGTAAGTTAATTTCATGGTGCTTTACTTTGGGTGGATAGAAATAAAAACATTTGATGGCGCTCATGACCTTGTGAGGCAATTGTCCATCATAGCATATTCTGACCTAAGATATAACATCAGCATATTCTGACATAGCATGAACTGGACCCTCGTGAGGCTGTTATCATTCAGAGCTTATTCTGACATAGCATGAACTGGACCCTCGTGAGGCTGTTATCACTCACAGCATATTCTGACATAACACGAACTGAACCCTACCCTCGTGAGGCTGTTGTCACTCAGAGCATATTCTGACATAACATGAACTGGACCCTCGTGAGGCTGTTATCACTCAGAGCATATTCTGACATAACATGAACTGAACCCTCGTGTTGCTGTCGTCACTCAGAGCTTATTCTGATATAGCATGAACTGAACCCTCGTGAGGCTGTTGTTATTAGAAACACGTGTATTATATAAAAGCAAATCAGTCACATTATTAGTTTTAAATTAAAACCTCGAACAACTATATAGTTGGTTAGAAAGTTTATTTTTTGTTGCTGTTTTTTAGTGGAGAAAGTATTATACATTTAATTATTTAAAGAAAGTAGTAGACATTTAATTATCTAAAGAAAGTATTATACATTTAATTACTTAAAGAATGTAGTATACATTTAATCATTTAAAGAATGTAGTACACATTTAATTATTTAAAGAAAGTAGTAGACATTTAATTATTTAAAGAAAGTAGTATACATTTAGTTATTTATATAATGTAGTATACATTTAATCATTTAAAGAAAGTAGTATACATTTAATTATTTAAAAAAGTAGTAGACGTTTAATCATTTAAAGAATGTAGTATACATTTAATTATTTAAAGAAAGTAGTATACATTTAATTATTTAAAGAATGTAGTATACATTTAATTATTTAAAGAATGTAGTATACATTTAATTATTTAAAGAAAGTAGTATACATTTAGTTATTTATATAATGTAGTATACATTTAGTTGTTTATATAATGTAGT